CAGCGGCGCCTCCCGACCCGCCAAAACGGCGAGATCAGCAAGGGCGCCAAGAAGAAGAAGAAGACAAAGAAGAAGGAAAGGATGGAGGCGGCGGGCGACGAGCAGCAGGAGGGCGGCGGCGGCGAGAAGAGCGCGGATCAGCGGGAGCAGCAGGGCGGTTGCGGCACTGCACAGAAGCCAGGTGGGCCGGCGTGGCTGGGCTGTTCTGCCGCGCGTCTGTTAGCGTCCGGGATTGCTGCTGGTACTGCCTTGGTGAATGTGTGGTGGAGCGCCTGCCGGCAGTTGATGACTTGCAATGGCTGGCTGGCTTGCGGCCCCCTCGCGGCTGCAGCAGACGCGGCGGTGGCTGGACCCCACAAGAAGAAGCGGCGGCAGAAGCAGAAGGCATGATGGCGGCGTAACACGTGGACCGGTGTTTGCTCTCCTGCTGTAAATGCGCGCATCGGTGAACCGCACGGCAGGCTCCCAGCGGTGGGGATGAGATGGGGTGACAGAGGTGCACGCCAGCCTGGAGATGATCCGCCGCCGCCTCCTCCAGTGCGACCGGTGCGTAGCTGCGCCAGCGCCTCCTGGAGCTGCTCCAGCTGGCGGTGCTGCGCAGCTTTCCCAATGGCTGGCCAGCCCGCCGAGGCCAACAAGCGCTGGCTGCTACAACCTATGTCCAGGTGCATGCCGATCGCTGCGAGGTCGGCCGCCCAGGACTGCTGCTGGCGGGGGTGGGCGCCATCTGCGAGTTGCACGCTTGCTGCAACAGGCTGCCAGAGGTGCGCCTGCTGGCAGGCAGGGGCAGCATGCACCTCTGCCACGTGCACCCATGCCCACCTTAGGGCCTGGACGCCCTCATGCGTGCCTGCCACGTTGGCAGCGCGCCGCTCCCGCCAGCTGCACGCCCCACACTTGGTGCCACGCCCCCCTGAGAGACGGGTGCTAGGAAATCGGAATGGGCTCCGGGTGTACACAGCCCGGCCCCTGTGACACGTGTCGCCCTCAATGCCTGCAGGTTGATACAAATGTCGCCTCCAGGCAACATCCCACGAACGGCATAATCTATTCTTCTTCTTCGCCGTCCATTGGCAGCGGTGATCTTTGTTGTATCGGCATTTCAGGCCTGCCGCCGTTCGTCCAGCCTCCATCGATAACCCCCTGGAGCGCCTGAGCTGAGGTGACCCGCCCGCGCGTCAACAGCAGCCTGGTGAGACACAGAGAAGCAATTTCCTGGATGCTGTCGAAGTCGCTTCCCACGGACCACGGCCTACTTCCCAAGGTAAAAGGCCGTGTTGCCCCCGGGGCGGCACCGCCGCCGCCGCCCCGGGCCCGGACCATTGCGGCCAGGACGCGCCCTTTGCCTGCCTATTACTCCTTGCCGGCGGCGTGTTGTGCTTCTGAAGGCGGCGCCTCTGCTGCAGCCCTGCGGGAAACTATCATGATGCAAGGTCATCGCTCTGCTCGGGTCTTCCCCGTGGCCTTCCTCGCCTTCCTGCTCGCGTGCACGACTCCCCCGGCCGCCGGGTGTGCCTGCCGCCGCCTGCCTCCCGGACTAGCAGGGTGGCAGTAGTACACGCTTTCTGCCGCCGCCACACATGTGTACACATGTTGACCCGCCTGATGTGCACTGTCACGATCCCGCATTACCCCCCCCCCCCACCCCCCACCCCCCACCACACACACACACGCCCCCCCCGCTCCCTGCAAATGCCCCCCGCATGCCCGCAGGGAGTGCGAGTACCAGTCCTGCGTGTGGGTGGACGGGGGCGAGTCACCTGATTTCAAGCCGTCCAGCGGCGCTGAGGAGTGCTGCAACTATTGCACTGCCAAGAAGCGGGCCCATTGGACGTTCTTGGGAGTGGAAGGCCTTTGCTCTTGCTCGGGGGCTAAGGGGTGAGCGGGAGGTGGAGGGGGCTGGCTGCCCGGAGGGAGGAGTGTGAGGAGGCTGTGCCAGAAGCAACAAGGTGTGGGCAGCCTTCACTGCATACACGTAAGCAGAGGCGGCGTGCTGCCCATGGCCCACATGAATTCGCCTCGCAAACACATGCACGCCCACGCACACGACCACTGCGCGTGCTGCCTTCCTTTCTGTTCTCCCTGCAGCGAACCTTGTTACAAACACCTAGAGTTTCAGCCCTCCTGCGGAGCGAGTGAGTGAGGGTATAACTGTGTGCATGCGCTCTCCCGCCAGACGCACAACACTGGTGCAGTTCATGGCTGCCTTCCATGCTTGCCTTGCCTTCCGCCCGCCTATGCCAAACCATTGAGTCACGCCGCATTTAACGCACCCCCCCCCACACACAACACCACACCATGTCTACCTGGCCCTCCCTGCGTGCAGGCGGATGCTGTCGGGCTGCCTCTCCACCGCCTAGCCCGCCTAGCATGTAAGTGCCGGCGCTTCGGCAATGTTGTCGACCGCAACCAACGCGGCGGTCTTGAGGGGAACCTTCACCACCGTTGCTGCTGTGTTTAGTGTTTGCAAAGGTGCAAGCCCCTTCGCGCATTGCGTTAAACACTCAGCCACACCGTTGCCCCATCGCGCATGCAGGACCCCCCCGCCGCCATCGCCCCACAGGTGACCGCTTGATTTGACGTGCTACTGTGCCTGGCCACTTGCCCGATTGGCCACCTACCGCCGCTGCCTCGCGGCCCGGGGTAGCCCGCGTGTTGTACACGCCTCCCGCCGCCGCCACACACACATAGACACTCCTCATGTTCACTTGCACGATCCTGCTCGGCCCTGCCATGCGGTCCCTTTAAATGCCCCCCACATGCCCGCAGGCAGTGCGAGTACCAGCCGTGCTTGCGGCTGGGCGGCGGCGAAGGAACAGCTTTCGAGCCGGCCAACAGCCCTGAGGCCTGCTGCGACTACTGCACTGCCAAGAAGCAGGCCCATTGGACGTTCCTTGGAGTTATACGCGTTTGCTATTGCTCGGAGGATAAGGGGTGAGCGGGTGGGGGGGGGGCTGGTTGCGCGGACGTAGGAGTGTGAGGAGGCTGCAGTGCCAGACGCAACAAGCTTTGGGCAGCCTTCACTTGCCAGCACAATCGCCAACAGCCCCCAGGCATGCTGCGCCCTCTGCACCGACGGACAGCACCCTGCGTGGCTGTTCGTTGACTTCGACAATGGCTGCTATTGCGTCGAGGGTGGGGGGTGAGCTGCGGCGGGGACGGGTGTGTGTGGTGGTGCTGAGCGGGGTAGCGAGGTGCCCCGTGGAGCCGGCAACCACCTGCGGCCGCTGCGGTTCGCTGTGCACGGCGCGCCCGCTCGCAGCGGCAGCATACCGCCCACGCCCGAAAGGCGCCACGCCAACACGCGCATACACCCAACCACCGCATGAATGCTTGCCGGCGCCTGCCTTCTTGTCCTCCCTGACTGACTGACTGACTGTATAACCCGATTTCCTGCAGCGTGCCTTCCTACGACTACCCACAGTATCAGCCGTTTTGCGGAGCGAGTGAGCGAGGGTGTGAGCGTATGCATGCCCTCCCCGGTCCAGCGTGGGGCCTGGGGCAGGCACGCTGCCGGCTGACTTCCTGTGTTGTACTGCCCCATACCACTCGCTGGGTCATGCCGCGGGCCCGGTGGATTCCTCCCCATCCCCGCACACACACACCACCACCACCCCGCCACCCATTCACACCCCAACCGAAACCACCATCACATGTTGCCCACCTCGCTTGCCCGCGGCTAAGAAAGGCCTTCTTTGAAGGCGCTGGAGCTAGTGTCTAAACCCTCCGAGAGGGCACAGGTTCGATTCCTCCCATGTCGAAACTTTGTGAGGACAAACGCGGCATAGCTGACCGGCTCAGCGCCAATCCAAGCCAATTCCTTCGGGAACGCCTAATAGAATCGCCAAGGCTTCGGCACAGGCCTCCCCGGGACCCATTCACTACTAGTGGGGGGTACTGCACTTGGCGCGTCAGGCAGATCAAATAATGGTCTAAAGCTAGACGTTAAAACCGGGAAGTTAAGCCTGTGGAGGCTCTTCCCCACCTTTACCTTTACCACCTTGCCTGCCATGCAGACGGCTGCTGTCAGGCATCGGCTAGCCCGTAAGTGGTGGCTCTTCACCCCTGCTGCCAATTGCTGATAAGCGACCCGCTGGCGCCTCTTCACGCGCATTCTCTTTCCCTACCTATTCGGCCCTTGTCTGTTTTTGCTGCCCATGCGGCGATCAAGTTCTTCGGGCCCCCTTTTGCACATGATGTATCGTGTTCAGCGTGCAAACACACCCTCCCGCCCCTGCGCATTACGCATTTCCGAGGATAACCACACTACACCCGCCCCTCACGCCTGCAGGCCCTCCCCTCCCTCTTCTGCTCCATCGCCCCCAAGGTGACCCGCTGAAAGTGATGCGCTGCCTGGCTAGCCTCCCTCATGCACTGCTCCTCATCGCAGGGGCTTGCTTGTGTGGGCTTACAGTCTGTTTTCAACAAGAACAAGCAGTCGTCCGTTGCGCACCCTCGGGTGCAAGTCAGCCCCGCCGCAGCGGCCGCATGAATGTTGGTGTTGGTCTCCCAGCGTTGCCATGTCCCTCAAGTCCCACCTCACCACCATCACCACTGCCACCACCCCCGCCTCGCAGCCCGCCCCCCTCCCCATGCACCAACGAGGAAAACCTGGATTGCCAATGGGGGAAGGCGGAGCCACTGCAGCAGACCGGCACCCCCGAAGCCTGCTGCGCCGCCTGCTCCAGCAACCCCTTCTCTGCCGGCCCCAAATGGACTTGGAGGACAAGTGACGGCTGGTGCCATTGTTCGTCCGACTTAACCACTAGGGAGTATGAGCCTGGAGTCATGTGCGGCACGGGTGGGCGCTGGCAGCAGCATGCCCGCCATGTCCAGGCCTAGGGCTGCCTGGCGGACGGCGTGGCTGAGGGTGGCTGCCCGGCTGGAATGTGCCCGCTCGCCGCTGCCGCTCGCCTGCTTCACCGCCGCCCTGCTATCCGCTAGATCGCTGGTTTTGCTGGATTGTTGGTAAATCTATACTGCTGGGGCTCCCACGATGTTCCCTTTGTGTCGCGCACTCCTTGCAGTCGGTTGCTGCATGGCGCCGCCCCCATTGCCACAACCACAACTGGCCCCGACGCCGCCGCCCTCGTGAGTGCTCACCTGAAAGCAACCCGCGCCTTACAACCAAACTCCCGCTCGCCTGTTTCGTCGCCACCCTCATGACCGCTAGATCGTTGATTCTGCTGTATCGTTAATAAAAGGATGTTGCTGCGGCACCCACACAGCCTCCATGCGCGCCGACTGCAGGCGCCTGCTGCACGGCGTAACCCCCATCGCCACAACCACCGCCGTCCCCAAAGCCGCCGCTCTCGTGAGTGCGCACCTGAAAGCAGCCACCGCAGCCATGATCGCTTGCTGCTGCTCAAGGCGTACACATTCAATAGTTATTACTTCCTCATGGTTGGTTTTGATACATGCAGCCCCATCCCCCCGCCACGCCCCCGCCCTCCATCCCCCAAGCCCCCGCCACGCCTGCGCCCTCCCTTCCCAAACCACCACCATCCAGCAAACCACCGCCACACCCCAAACCACCGCCACACCCAAAACCACCGCCACACCCAAAACCACCGCCACACCCAAAACCACCGCCACACCCCCGCCCTCCCTCGCCCAAGCCCCCGCCAACCCCCAAACCACCCCCACGCCCCAGGCTGCCGCCACGCCCCAGGCCACCCCCCAAGTAACTGTCACTTGGAGCCGTCCACGCGATTCGGCATTCAATCCGATTGAATGGCTAGCCAGCCATGCCGGTGGCCACCATGGTCTGCCTGCTTGCCTGCCTGCCTAGGCCTGTGTGAATGTGCATATTCAACCGAATCCCCAGTGCCAATTTGTTTTTCTCAATTTCCTGTCCGCCCCGTGCCCACCTGCATTGGCCGCCTGGCCAGACCACCTTGCGCCGCTGGGCCCCGCATCCACTTCTTGCGATGCTTGCTGGTGCACATGTAATGCAGCGGCACCCAGCAAGCAGGAGAAGAGGCAGAGAAGGGAGGCTGTTGCGGCGCCTCGCGGTCCTGCTTTATGCCTGTTGCTGCAAGGCCGGCTGGGAAGCGTAGGACTGCTGCAACGTGGTGGGCAGTGTCTGCGAGTTGGCACGCTGGACTGCAACATTTGCTGCAACAGGCTGCCAGGCCGCTCATCCAGCGTCTTGTTCAGAGTTTGGCTGCCCGCGGGCGACGGCCGCCGCAGCCAGCATTGCCACTGCGCCCGCTCGCCGGTCTCTGCAATTGCAAGGAGGACTGCGTTGGGGGTGCCCTACTGTGTTACAGTCACCCCGCTATGATAGGCCGCCCTGCTCATGTGCCTGCCTTCCCCGGCTGCCGGGTGCGCCTGCCACCACTGCCTCATAGTGCGCACCCGCAGGCGTGCGTGTTGGCAGCTGTATGTCTGTCTGGCAGCAATGCATGCTTCCGGCATCCGCCACACCCACACACATACCCACATGCGCGCCCCAAAGCGGTCTCGCTCACAGGGCTTCACGCCCGCTCCGTGCCCGCTCCGTGCCCGTAGGCAGTGTTCCTTCGACACGTGCTTCCTTCCGACGAGCATCATCATTGCCAGCACAACCGCCGACAGCCCCGAGGCCTGCTGCGCCCTCTGCGCCGACGGACAGCACCCCAAGTGGGTGTTCACTCGCGTCGACAACGGCTGCTTCTGTGTCGAGCGCGGGGGGTGAGCTGCGGTGTGTGTGTGTGTGTGTGGTGGTGCCGAGCGGGGCCGGGGGATGCCCCGCGGAGCAGACGTACTGTAGCACCCCCACGGGCGCACGGGTTGGCCGTGCACGCTCGCAGCGGCAGCGTGAATGCCCACGCCCGAAAGGCGCCACGCCAACACGCGCACTTACACGACCACCGCGTGAATACTTGCCGGCGCCTGCCTTCTTGTCCTCCCTCCCCGACGTCGACTGACTGACTGTAAAACCCGATTTCCTGCAGCGTACCTTCCTACGACTACCCACAGTATAAGCCGTCCTGCGGAGCGAGTGAGCAAGGGTGTGTGCGTTTACATGCCCTCCCCGGTCCAGCGTGGGGCCCTGGGGCAGGAACGCTGCCGGCTGCCTTCCCTGCGTGGTACCGCCCCATGCCACCCGCTGGGTCATGCTGCGGGGGCCAGTGCCCCCCCCCCCCCA